TGAATTTTTTGTACGAACCCCGCCTGAGGAAGGAGTAGCTTTACCAGCATTATTTGAAACACCTCTTTTTGCTTTATATCTGGGGTAAGATTTACGTCGAGTTGCCTTTTTATGGCAGGCACCACTGAAATCCATTCGAAATGTACTCACTACAGACTTCATATCCTTTTCGTATAGAAGGGAAAAATAAATTCTTTCAACTCGGGCTCACTAAAGCATCTCTTTCCTTTACTTTCATATTCCTTTCTAACAAGAGTATGATTAGCAAAAGCATCTGCCTTTCCTTCTACTACTTTACTAGCAGCTTTTCTTGAGGAATTACCACCTCTGTTTGCCATCATCTTTTTGTATGCCGTGATGAGAAGTAGGTTCATTGCTACCTACTCAACGTTCTTTTTCTCCTCTTGACTTTCACGCTGAATGGCTTCATCAATTTGGCTCAAGATTTTTGTCTTCTTTATACCCTGTTTCTTCAGCTCAACTTTACGTTCCATAATTTCTTGATCAATAGATTTTCCTTCCAAGGGTGGGGAAGGCATAGAGTCTAAAGTTATGTCAAATGCTCTGTAGCTCCATTCGTATGTTATATCAAGCAAAAAAGAGTTTGATATAGGGAACTACAATATGATATATCAGATGTACCAAGCTTGGGAAGAAATTTTTGAAGCAGAATCCTTTTTGTAAATCACAGAAAAATCTCCTCTAGCTGGAAATGGCAAGCAACCATTTGATGAGATTTCATTACAATGGAATGAACTTGATTTACATTGATTCCTTTGAGTATGAGATGCAATATTTCTATTATAGGAAACTTCATCCAGCAAGCAATTATCAAGAGATTGCAAGTCCAGTCCCAACTCAACTTCAGTTAATACTTCGTTGCAACTATTTGAATCATTCGCCATAACATCAAGTGAACCATGGTCAGACGAATGATCCAAATAATTGCAACAGATTCTTAACTAAAGTTGAGTTGGGAGTGAATTTGTGAGCTCCTGATAATTGTTTTGCTGGATGAAGTTTCCTGTAATAGGAATATTGCATCTCATACTCAAAGTAATCAATGTGAACCAAGTTCATCAAATGGTTGCTAGCCATTTCCAACTAGAGGAGATTTTCTTGTGATTTTCAGAGAGGATTATGGTTTAAAATTTTTCTTTAAAGCTTGGCACATCTGATATATCATCCTGCAGTTCCCGATACCAAACGTTTCCGCTTGATGATAGAATACGAATGGAGTTACAGAGCATTGGAGAAACAAGGTATAATGAAGACAAAAATCTTGAGTCAAATTGATGAAACCATTCAACGTGAAAGTCAAGAGAAGAAAAAGAGCGATGATCAGGTAAAAATGAATCTACTTCTCATCACAGCATACGAAAAGATGATGGCTAACAGAGGTGGTAATTCCTCAAGAAAAACAGCTAGTAAAGTAGTAGAAAGAAAGGCAATGACTTTTGCCAATCATAGTCTTGTTAGATACAAGGAACATGAAAGAATTGTTTTTGTAAACCCGAGTTGAACGATTATTTTTCTACCCTTCATGCGAAAATGATATGAAGTCTATAGTGAGTACACTTCTAAAGAATTTTAGTGGTGGCTGCCACAAAAAGGTAAGCCGGCGTAAACCTTACCCCATATATAAAGCAAAAAGCGGTGCTTTCAATGATGCTGGTACAACTGCTACTTCATCAAGCGGGTTCAAGCATGATATTCATGTTGTTCAAAAGTGCACATAAAGCGTTCATCCTCCATAATAGCATCAATGAAAGATGATTCTTCCTCGGGTAGGGTGAAGAGAAAGAAATCGGTGAGTGAGCTCGAGCTCCTCCATGCCCCAAAAGCAATAGGAGCAGTAAATGGAAAGAGAAATAGTTCAAGTGCAAGACGGAGGGGTGAAAACGGAAGCAAGTCCATCATTGGCATCGTTTTTCCATCAACAAAATGTTGTTGGATGAAGTAGAGGTTGAATTTGAAAAACAAAGCATAGGAGCAAGAAGTGAATTATGTTTTAGCATCAGAAAGTGAGCTTCACGAAGTGCTGATCTTTGTGGACCCAGCTATTGAGAATCTGAGCAAAAGTATTGCCATTGAGAAACTCCACCTGAAGTTAATGACATGATCCGGAAGGAGGTTGGTGGGGCTAATGACCCGACACCATTGTTTAATATTGATGATGGCAACATGATGGAATTAGACTATGTTGGTCTTGCGGTGCCCATGGATGATCTTTGGGACATCGAGTTTTTCGGATATAAATAATAATTATGGCTTCGCTTTCATGGTGATATCCTTTTTGTGTTGCAGGAACTTGAGGATAGGGTGCATGCATTGGAGGAGGTTCTACAGACCTGGATGATGATACAACGCTGTTTGATTATAATGAAATTGTGGCTTTGTTGCAGCAATAGATATCAATTAAGGTGGAATAGTGACAGCAACAAGCTCATATGGTCGCTTTGTAGACTATATTAAAGTTCTTATGCTTGAAGGGCCATTCAAATGAAAAACCCTAATGATTGTGTGGATATTTTGGTTAAGGGCCAAATTTCTTTTAATGGTAAACATCCAGTGAGATTGTTTTGTTGGACTGCATATTTTGATACTCGTTATGAGATTTCTCTTGCTCCTACTTGGGTATAACTTCCTAATTTGAAGGCTAACTATTTTTCTATACCATTTTAAAGCAAATTGTTAAGCTAATTAGTTGGTTTTTACATGTGGATGCTACTACAGCTAAATTTCTAGGCCTAATGTGGCTAAGGTTAAGGTAGATGTTGACCTCTTTCAGCCATTGTGTGGATATTTTGGTTAAGGACCAAATTTCTTTTAATGGTAAATATCCAATGATGTTGTTTTGTTGGACGGCATATTTAATACTCGTTATGAGATTTCTCTTGCTCCTATTTGGGTTTAACTTCCTAATTTAATGGCTAACTATTTTTCTATACACTGTTTAAAGCAAATTGTTAAGCCAATTAGCCAATTTTTTCATGTGGATGCTGCCACAGCTAAATTTTCTATGCCTAATGTGACTAAGGTTAAGGTAGATGTTGACCTCTTTCAGCCACTTAGGACCAAGATGTTTATTAGGATGGGTAGCAAAAACCAGGGCTATCTGATGGTAGGAGTGGTAGTGGTGGAGGTCTCCCCTTATTATCTAATCTGAAAGAAACAAGGGCATTTAGCCCCAACATGTCATTCTGGTATGAGGTGTTCAGACCCTAGTGTTAGTCATGAGCAACTATTTCATCCTACTCCTCGAGGTCCACCGCAATATCGGATGGTAGGAGTTGTAGTGGTGGAGGTCCGTCGAACCTTCCTCCTGCCCCTCGTGCTCCACCACCTTCAAGTGGTGGCAATGCATAATTAGGGGGCATTGTTGGTCAACCTCCAACTGCTTAGACCCAGTCAGGGGGCTCAAGCTTGACTCGAAATCAAAAGAGGAATTCAACCAAGAGACGGAGGCAAGATGTAAGGACACCATTGTTGAGGGCAGTGTGTCAAGCCCACGAGTTAAGGATGGAGCTGACACATAAGGTGTTCGCACTCACACCCTCCATCTACACCCGGGGATCCTAGTTCTATGCGACAGGTATGTTTTACTCGTCCTATTGTTCCAGAGTCTATGGCTCCCCAAACACTGGTTTGGGGGGCGGGGATAGGTTCGTGTGGCTTAAACACGGATCATTTCTCCATCCCCATGGCATCTCAAGTTACTCAACCCTCTGCTCCATCCACATAATGATGGGGTTTGCACTCACACCCCCCATCTACACCCGGGGATGCTAGTTCTGCGTGACAGGAATGTTTTCCTCCTTCTATTATTCCAGAGTCTATGGATCCCCAAACACTGGTTTGGGGGCGGGGATAGGTTTGTGTGGCTTAAACACGGATCATGTCACCATCCCCACGGTATCTCAAGTTACTCACCCCTCAGCACCAGTTTCGGTAGTTAGTCATGCTCGGAGAACTCGGTCAGCGTCGAAGCGATCCAACATTATGGGGTTCTACTGTGAGGCGTCTGATGATGATATTGAGTCTTTAGTTGTTGGTTCAGTTGTTACCTTTGAGTCAACGGGACATCGTAGGGAGCCAGTGGGCCATGCCTCACCCCATAGAGCGTCTTAAGTGCCCTTTGGTGGTAGATATACTACATCATAGGTACATTTGAAGGAGAGAAGTAGTTCGGGCTTAGTTACGCCTATCTCATCTCAATCTCCTTTTTGATGATGCATTTTCTTGTGTGGAATGTGCGGGGAATTGCCTCGTGTGGTTCTTTTCAAATGTTGCATTTGCTGTTTAAGGAGCATAAGCCTTTTATGTTATGTCTCCTTGAGTCTTTCTGTAATACTAATAGACTGGATTCCTTTAGGTTATGACTTGGATTTGACAATGCTTATGCTGGTGTTAATGATAATTTGTGGCTTTTCTAGAATTTGATTTGCAATTTGAATCTGAATCTGATCAGTCTATGTCTGTTTCATGTGCTCATGTTACTATTCCTTCCCCTTTTTGGGTTTATTTTGTCTATGCAAAGACTATGGGTTGTCAAAGGGAGCCTTTATGGGCTGAGTTAGGCTTAGTTTCAAATAGGGTTCCTTCGGGGCGTTCCTTGGTCTCTGATGAGTGATTTTAATTATTTGCTAAGTGTGGATGACAAAAAAGGTGGGCTTCCTTATCCTCATATGAAGACTACTGCTTTTCGGGAGTGTGTTAGTACGTGTGACCTTATTAACTCTAGTGCCTATGGTTCCTCTTTCACTTGGTGGAATGGGAGGCGTATAGAGTCAGCTATCTGGATGGGCCTGGATTGTTTTCTCTACACTTTGGTGTGGGAGTCAATGTTTAGGACACCTGTTTAGCATATGTCTACAGCTATGTCTGACCAGTGTCTATTACTTGTTACTTCTGAGGTTAATACTGCTCAGCCCATTCCTAAGAACTTTTTGTTTCTTAATGTGTGGACTAAGCATGAGGATTTTTTACATGTGGTTAGGGAAAGTTGGCGGTTCCTGTTGAGGGTGCACCTATGTATGTTTTGGCTACTAAGCTTTCCAGGTTAAAGAAGGTCCTTTCTCCTTTATGGGGGTGTGCATTTCGGGATTCGGTTTCGATTTTGGTATTAAAAAAAATGATACCATTCGGTTTAACATTAAGTCTGGTTCGGTTTCGGTTCAGGTTCAATTTGAAAATGTTCGATTTCGATTCGAAATTAATTCAGTTCGATTTAAGAACTCCAATTTCTAACATTTCCTAATTTTCTAAACACACTACCGAACAATACATATTCACATAGGCAAACTCCAAAGTCTAAACATTATATAACAAAATAGCAATCCAATGTTTAAACACAGTACTAAGTACTAATTACCAAACATCAGTTGGTTTTTTACCTAACCGACTCTTCAATTGACTCACTTGGAATGTTTTGTTGATGAGATGAAGAATCATCCATCTATGTAGTTAATATTTGAAGAAAAAGGGTTAAATACTGTATAGTTAAGTTTTGAACACAATCCGTCATTTCTTGGCAAAATATATTTTCACTGCACTGGAATATTATTTTCCAATGCACATGAAATATATTTTTAGTGCTTCCAAGTAGTGGAAAAAATATTTCCAAGCACTAGAAATCAAAATTAGAATGATGTTGAAGCACATTAGTTTCATAGAAACATGAAACTAAAGAAAATATTGAATATAGTACGAATAACTTAAGTTAGAGATAATTGTGATGCAAAGAATAATTATGACAAACAACAAAACTACAAGGTAGAGAACATCCCATAAAGAAAAAAACTAATAGAAATACCAGTGAGAATATGAGCTGAACGGCGAAGTTGGCAGCAAGAGACTTTGATTTACTTATTTCTTTATTTATTATTATTATTATTATTATTATTATTATTATTATTATTATTATTAATTATTAATTATTATTATTATTATTATTATTGTTATTTTTATTGTTATTTTTATTGTTATTGTTATTGTTATTATTGTTATTATTATTGTTATTATTATTATTATTTTTTATTTTTTATTTTTTATTTTATATTATTATTATTATATTATTATTATTATTATTATTATTATTATTATTATTATTATTATTATTAATATTAATTTTACTTTTTGTCACACGACTTTTGAGATCTTATCACTTTTGGTGCACAATTTTAAATATTTTCAATTTTGGTGCTTAACTTTGTTATTTTTTTTTTTAATCAATTTTAATCCCTACGGCCAAATTCACTGTGAAATGTTGCCGGCTTTTATATTTTAGAGACAAAAGCGTAATCCCAAGGAAAGATCTTCAATATCTAAACAAAAGAATAATCATATTTAGAGAAAAGAGTTAATACCTTTAATGGTCCTTCGAGTATTAGGGGTTTACCAGTTGTGGTCCTCCGATTTTTAAATGACCTCCAATGGTCACGAGACGTCCTAAAATGACCACAGGTGGTAATTTTTTAAAACATGGAGGACCATTGGAGGTCATTTCAAACTCGGATGACCACAAATCCCATAGATCTATGTCTAGTTTTTATCCGTCTTCTCCTTTATTTTCATCGATCAAACACCTATAAATATGATTTTACAGGGGTTTTGTTTAGATATTGAAGATGATTCCTTGGGATGACGATTTTACCCTTTAAAATATAAAATCCAGCAACATTTCGCCGTCAATTTGGCTAAAAGGACCAAAACTGATAAAAATAATAAAATTAGGCGCCAATGATCTTGTGGTCTAGTGGCATGAAGTGGCTCTACCAAATGGAAGGTCATGGGTTTGAGCCATAGTAAGGGCAGTATTAACTCAAAAAAAAAAAAAAAAAAAAAAACAAAGTTAGGCACAAAAAGTGAAATTAATTATTATTATTATTATTATTATTATTATTATATTATTATATTATTATATTATTATGTATTATATTATATATTATTATTATTATTATTATTATATATATATATATTATATATATTATATATTATATTATTATAATAATAATAATATTAATATTAATAATAATAATAATAATAATAATAATAATAATAATAATAATAATAATAATATATTTATAGTTATTTATTAAAAAATGCTCTTCGGTTAGGTTTAGTTTATTTACCAAATCATTCGGTTTGGTTTTTTACCGAATCTTTCGTTCGGTATTCAAAAGTCCATTACCGTTCGATTGTTTGGTATACTACCAAATCGAAGTGGTTCGGTTTGGTCCAGTACTATTCGAGAAAATTGAATTGCCCACTCCTACTCTTTGGGGCTGGGAAACCTTTGGTAATATCTTTTCTAAGTTGCATGAACTTGAGGATAATGTGCACGCATTGGTGGAGGTGCTGCAACAACACATAGACGATGATTGTGTGCTGATGGATTATAAGGAGAGTGTAGCTCTTTTGAAGCGACAAATTTCTATTAAGCAGGAGTACTAGCAGCAAAAGGCGCATATGATGGTTGTGCAAGAGGGGGACAGGAACTCCAAGCTCTTTCAGTCGTTGGTCAAGGAGAGGAGGATGAAGCTCTACATTCATAAGTTAAAAGATGACACATGGCGCTGGATCAATGATAAACAAGGGATAGCACAACAAGCTGTCTCATTTTTTTAGAGTATGTTCACAGCAGATGTAGGTACTTTTGACTTGTTTAAACTTGATTGTGTGTCACGTCTGGTTATTGATGAGGATAATGCCATGTTAACTGTTGTGCCTAAGGAAGATGTGGTTAAAAATAGTGTTTACTATGAATTCTGTTAGTGTCAGGCCCTGACGGGTTTTCTGTGGAATCAGGTATCATACTTTCAATGTGCACACCCCCTAACCGGGATTCCAAGCCCAGCGGGTAGTATCCAACCTAGCAGCTCGAGATTTTTCTACCAAGTTACTTCTAAAAATTGGCCTTCTCTGACCGTATCATCCGAAAGGACATAGTCCAACCGGTAGCCTCCTAAACAAGGTTTTCCTCACTTCATATAGGTAATATATATATATATATATATATATATATATATATATATATATATATATATATATATATATATATATATATATATATATGCGAGCTTTTCAAAAGAATATAGATATAGATTACCAAAATACATATACGAGTTTTGAAAATAACCTAAGCCAATAATATAGGCCATCTAAAGTATGCAAAAGCTTTCAATATGAAAACATAGTTTTTATGTACAAAAGGTTATGAAATAGCCATTTATGCAAATGAAACCGTATGATCGTGTCAATCTCAATACTCATGAACTAGATAATGCAACTAGAGTATTTAATCAACTCATCTCATAACTCAAGTCCAAAACATGGTACTCAACTTTCGTGTTCAACGGTATTCAACAAACACTTAGGAAAATCATGAATCATGCTTGGTTTGAAAAAGTCAATTTTATTCACAAATCACATAGGCACATTTCATACTAACGTGTCGTTACGTGCCCGAGTCTTCGAGCATCAAGGGTCCACGATTTCCTGTCCGAAACAACAAAGTGGACTGAGCCACAAGGGCTCGGCCCTCTCCAGAATGACCTGGTGGGGCTAGGTGACGGAGCCTGAGGAACCCCGCCACTTGGCTCCGCCAAGTCACGCCCTTGAGTAGCGGATCCCCTTATGGTCCACCACCCTAGTCAGTTGGACGACGGTGCTTACCAACGGATCCCTCCGGGGTCCGTTGGTAAGCCCCGCATGGTCAACCCAGAGCTCCAAACAGTGAGCTCGGGAAATTGCCTCAGATGAACAAATCCAACTTCCAGCTTTCCAGAACATCTCCAAAACTTCTCCAAACATCCAAGAACAACGAGATAACAACACAAGCTCATAATAAACACATAAACATGCATTCTATAACATTTCTAGGCATCAACACATCTATATCATCAACAACAACACAATATCAAAATAATAGGTTTTGGGAGTCCATGGTTTATACCTCAAACTTCTTAGCTTTAACCTCAAGTGTTTCGCTTCTATGACCTCAAGCTAGGTATTCTCTTCACCCTCTAGAACTCCAAGACCACCACCAACAACACACATACACAAACACATATGAACATATTCTTAGCTTAGGAAGTTGAAGGAAGAATGGAGGAGATGAAGAAAATAGAAGAGATACTTACCAAATCTTGGACCTAGGGTTTGCTAGGAAAAGCTCAAAAAAATGAAGAAGATGAAGATGTTGGTGAGAGGGAGAGAGAGTCACGAGAGAGAGATAAATGTAAGCTGCCAAGGTGAAGGAGGGATGAATACAATATCTACACTAAGGAGGTTTAAGTAGTAGGGCTCAAAACCCTAGGGAAAGCTGATGGAATTTTCGGCCAAGTGAGGGCCAATTTGTTCATTTCGCGATTAAAATCTCAATTTATAATTTTGGATCAAAAGTTGGGTCAAGTTAGGAAAAAAAAAATAGGTTTCTAAATTTTTAGGAATAAAATGGGTTCATTTGTAAGAATATTCCTAGGCCAAAACAATTGAATCAGTTTCACAGATTCCTCCACTAGATTGACTTTTGGGTCAAAACTTGGTACATAAATATACCCAATAAATAGGACTTTTAAAATATAAGATTATTTGGTGTTGAATCACTTGAAACAAGGAATTTAAAATATTTAATTCATACACCCTTTGGAAAAATTATTGTAGGAGTAAAAATAGTTTATTTTGAAATTTTATAAAATAGAAATTTGAAGAAATGTATTTTGGGTTGTCACAAATTTTAGTAGAAAGATTGTCACTTAGTTATTGGTGGTCAGGTAGGCATCTATTCTCCCTAGGTTGTTGTCTCCTCACCAGAGGGTTTTATTTCAGGGCATTCTATTACTGATAATATTTTACTTGCCTATAAGATGTGTCATGGTTTGAAACTGGGGAATCAGGATTTACTGGTTAAGTTAGATATGGCTAAGGCCTATGATCGTGTATCTTAGTTTTTTATGGTATTTGTGATACGCATGATGAGTTTTAGTGAGGTCTGGATTGACCTGGTCTACCATGTTGTTTCAAATGTTTGGTACTTTGTTATTGTTAATGGGGTCAAAGAGGTTTTCTTTACTTCTTTCTCGTGACCCAACGCAGTGTGATGTTAGTCTCTGTTGGGATAACTGGTCTGGACTTGGGCCCCTTGGGCGTCTGTACTTGTTTCCTAGTGTTGAGTATTCAGGTGAGTTACTATTTGATTTTATACAGGATGGGGAGTTGGATATGTCTGCTTATGTTGACCTTCTGCCTACTGGTTTTGAGGCGGACATGTCCCGCTTGGGGCAACGGTCGTTTGATAAACCTATTTGGCAAGTGGTTGCTGATTGTTTGTTTACTTTTTCTTATGCTAAATCTCTTTTAGGACATGATCCTGTGATTTCAGACCTTTTTTGAGTACTTGTTTGCATAAACATCTTCCCTTTAAGGTGTCCTTTTTGGTCTGGTATGTGTTACGTGGGCAATTTCCCACAGATGATGTTATTAGATGGGATACTCCGCCAGATGGTTCTTTAAAGGTTAATCTTTCATACTATGAGTCTGTGGGTGGGGCTGCTACCATGGTGTGTAATCAGGGGGTGGTTTCTGCTACGGTTTGGCCGTTTCGGCAATTAATGGGTTTCGGGATCTTTTTCGAGTCTCGTTTGGCTGTATGTAATGGTGTTTGGGGGAGGGATTTAGATCCTTCGTCTTAGAGTCTTCTTTGCCTTAGTTTGGTGGGGTATGTTGACACTTGTGTTCCTATTCCTTGGCTTCTTGATTGTGCTGTTTCTTGGCTTCGTTTCCATTGCTTTTGTGTTAATATGTTTGTCTTAGTTTGATAGCGTCAGGGTAATCTTCCCATGGCTGATTTGGCAGATTGGGTTAGGGGTAAGGATGTAGAGATTTTCTTTCATAGTTTGCTTAACCTGCCTTCGAGGGTGCATGCATTGATTGTCCCTTATGACGTCCCTACGGTTGTTTTTTAGGATGATGACCTGCCTAGATTTATTTTGTCTTGGTTGACGGTAAATGGAAAAAAAAAAAAACAAATAGGAGAGGAAATTTGAAAAAAAAAAAGAAATAAGATGGAAAAGCATTGAAAAGGAAAAATGAAAAAGTGGAAAAAAGAGGAAAAAAGTGCAAAAAGAGAAAGAAAATTGGAATTGTCGGTGCTTGTTTTGGAGGTAATGATGGATTGGCTTTGTGTCATGTTTAGCTTAACGATAGCTTGGCTTTGTGTCAAATCCATTGACCAAGTCAAGCTTGCTATTGGCCAATAATAGCAGAACCCCTTCCGGGGTTCCAGGTGAGGTTGGAGTTATGGGGGGTGCCTACCTTTCTTAAGTGTCTTTTATTTTCTACTTTTCGTGTCTTTCGTGGTAATAAACAACAGAATCAAGCCCTAGAATCGCAAAATCAAGCATCAAATCGAGAATCACAACTATGTCAGATGTGGCAGGGCAAGTCGGTTGTTAGAATTGCAAAATGATATTGAGAAAAACTTGTTAAGAATGATGAAAAGGTTACCTTGATGGGAAGATTTATGCAAGATTGGCCCTCACTAGATGTGATTAGGGAAAAATTTTGCTTGGTGTTCTCCCATGTTAATTCAGTTCAAATTAGATGACTCAACGCAAGGCACATACTGGATCGATTTGCATTTGAGATTGACTGTGACAGTAAGGGTGGAAATAGGCCAGGCCGAGCTAGACTTTAGAAAATTAGACCTAGGCTTGTTAGGAAAATCTAAAGCCTAGACCTGTATGTAGGCTTTTTTTATTAGGCTCAAGCCTGAGCTTGCAGTTGGCATTGTGACACCCCAAAAATCCACATTCAATCCATGGATTAATTGAGTAATTAATCCTATTTTTATTTGAGGAATTAATTCCTAAAATCCTGATTTTTAATACTCAAGGACTAGAATTTGACTAGTCAACCTTTAAGTTGTGTTGTACCTTGTGCTTTGAGGGGAGTTCCCTTGTTCCTTACACTTTCAAAGGGTTAGTAAGGGTATTCTTGTTTTTTCACCAAGAGTTAGTATTGTAACCTAACCTAGAAGACTTCTTCATTTCATTCCCTACAATTCTTAGAAAATAGTTCTACCTTCTCTCTAGAAAAGAAGTGTAGCTTATTCTCCAAGCCAAGTTGAGACCCTTGTCAAAATCCCAAGATTTGCTTCCAAGATTCAACCTTTCACCTATTTGGGCATCTAGGAGGGTAAGATCTAAGTTCATCTTGTGTTTTTGGTTCCATCTTAGTTGTCTTTTCTTAAAGGTAGGATCTTTATGATCTTTTGGTTTAATCTTGAAGTGGGTTTGGAAAGTAAGCCTTGTGGAGTGCTTGTTGTGGTGTAAAGTGAAGTCTTTTGGTATTCAAGAGGTAACCCATGCTCTACAAAACCTATTTTGCTTACCTATATGTGATTTCTTGGATTCTACATGTGTTTTGCTATGAAATGTGAGGGTTTATGCATTTGTCTTGTGATATTGCATATCTAGAGCTTGTGTTCAGGGTTCCTTTGTGCCATTGCTTGGAATTTTCCATGGTTCAAGTCATTTTGTTGTGTTTGGTGAGATTTGGCATGTCTTGGACTTGAATTTGTGTTTGGAGAAGAAAATCCCCGAAGGGATTTGTTGTGGAACATGGATGTTCCCGCGGGCGGGGCACCACCCGCCGGCCT